ATGAAAGTATTTTTATAAAAGCACTTCTATGAAAAAGTACTTTTACGAAATACTTTCATAAAAGTACTTGCTTTTTTATCAAAGTACTTTTTATGAAAGCACTTTTACAAAAGTGCTTTTTCAATGCCAAGAAGGTATATTTTTTAATTTTCAGATTTTCTTCATTTTAATATGTTTTTATAATTTTTATATGTTCTGTCTTTGTATAATTTTTTGTATTTCATTTGATTTGATTGGATTCAATCCAGTCCGTTTACATTTTAATGGATTGGATTGGATTTGAACTGTATTGGGTCCAGTCTATTTATAAGTGAATTTACATTGGACTGGATCAGATTGGACCAAATCCAGTCGAATTGATACTTTTAGTCGTGGAACTTACCCACCTGGGTAAGTTGTAAAAAAATATTACTTGGGGGAAAGTTAAGTTAGTAGGTCCTGCATTTATTGAAAAAAGAACATAAAAAATTGGTCAATTTTCCCATTAACCAACTTCCACCCTCCCAACTTACCAATAAACAAACAAGCCCTTAGTGAAAGACAGAAAATTACCGTTTGTAATGATAAAAGTAACTCAAAATTAACATGACATTCATTCTTCTTTCCTTAACATTCTCTTTGTCTATATTGCAATTCTCAGTTTTTATTGTTCCCAACTAAATTATACTAGCAAATATGAAATTATGAGAAGTCAAACATATAATAAATAACGTAAGAATAGGAGGCTAATACATTTTTGGTGCGCAATTGACATAACACCTTCTCTAAGAAATTGGGAGGATCCATTACTTGGTTTAATGGTAAAATCTTAGTCAAAAAAATATCATTATACCAAGGCGGTGTTCTCTTTTTGGTAAATTATCTGATTTAAGTGTTTTTCAGGAAAGACTTATCCAGGTAAGTGCATTTGTTCATATTCTTTTATTTCTCATATAAATAAGGCAATGGCCACTTTAGTCATAAAAATTCATTATTAAAAGGGGCATTTTTGTCCTATTTTTGTGTTGGCAATTTTTCCCCTAGATGGGAAAGTTATTTACTCACCTAGGAGATGGGTACCCAGGAAAATAAACTTTCATTAGCCCCCACATAAATTTGAAAAAAGAACATGAATTTTTTGGTCAATAAAATTATTTTCCCCGTTTTCAAGATCCAAAAAAAGAACACTCCCCAAAATTAAATTTGTAACCAGTCCACCCCTCCCAGGGCCAATGGCTGGGCTGACATTCGGTAATGACCTTTCATTCTATAAAAAATGAGACTAATGCTAATTTCCTTCTAGCTCATGTTCCTTTAATAATTGAAAAAAGCCAGCATATATGTAATACATGTCAATCCTTAGAGGACGATTTTAGTTAAATTTGCATCCAATTAACAAGCATCAGTCATCAGATTTATATTCACCTTTTTTTTAGTTTCTTCAACCCTCCCTCCATCCATTGTCAAAAAATATCGAAGTTTTCTAATTGTATAAAGTGTTTCTAAATCTTGTATTTACACTATACATATATTAAAAAAAAATGTCAATCTGATGTGAAAGGTGTTTTTTAAAACCCTAATTAATCCATGGTTCTACAATTGTCTTTTCAGCAAAAGCTAAACCCTAGTTTTACTTCCTTGGCTTAAGAGATCAACGATGTTTCTGCAAGGGTGAATATCTATCCTTGAGTACAGTTTTGAGAAAACTTTGGCTGTCCAAGGCTTGTCTCCATGTTATACGTTAGTCTATACAGTATCTTCAGCACTTACTATTTCATGAAATTCATCTAGACTAGTAACTTGTATTCAGAGACTTGTAAATGGTATAGGCTGTGGAACATAGCCAAAATTTTTTCCCAAATTTCAACACTAAAAATTGAAGTTGGTTCAGATGGATCAAGACGAATTTGGATCAGCTTCCAATTTTCAATTTGATTGCCTTCACAAGTCCAGCTTAATTGCAATGGGCTTGGAACAAGTTCTATCCATGGATCGGATCCATTGGCACCTTTAACTATAACTTTGTTAAATTAGATCCATTGTTGTGTTGGACCTATTAACAGGATCCATTGTTGTGTCCTCAAAAGAAATGCACCTTCAAACATGTAAATACAAATCACACATTGTATTTCCAGTAATGAATCCCGTTGATAGATAGCTAGCAGATCCAAATGCACAATGCATATATTGAAGGTCAATGTATTGCCAAATAAAATTAAAAAGAGAAGTGATAAAAAATATATAAAAAAAATAATGTGACAGAAATGTGAATATTAAGATGGACAAATGTAAAAACTAGAAAGAATAGGATTAGTAATTCACCCATAGGAACATAAAATCAGCAAGACAAAGGTTGATGTTTGAGAGAAACCAACGGAGAATAATGGGCAAAGAACCTGCCTTTCTTTTAAATTGGGCTACTGGTGGTCAAAGAAACTGGCAAATGTGAACTCACACCGAAGCTTCCACGACATTAACCTTCATTCCAAATGAAGATGAAAAAGAAAGGATTTCTTTTTTAAACACGGAATCGTGGTTTTTAAAATCGACTTGGAGACCGAACCGGTCAGGGGTCCAGTTATTGGGTCGAATGGTCCAACTGTTTGAACCAAACGGTCGGCCCATTCTGACAAAAGAATTAAAAAAACAGTCAAAATCGTTCGAACGGTTCAATCGGTTAATCGCACGAGTCAGCGATTTGCTGACCAAAATCAATAGTTTTGAAAGAAATTCCGGTTTTGGGAAAAACCGAAATCAGTCACCTGACCGATTCCCGGTTTTTCTGGTCCGTTCTGGTTTTGAAAACCATGCACGGAATTAACACTATTCATATGCCTAGTTCAAAAGTATACTCAAACAAACTGAACTAGTCCATCGATTAGCACTTTGGCCCTACTATTGACATAGGGTAGCCATTGGATACCACGATGGCGAATATTGCTATATCTGCTATGCTTTGGTCTTCGTTGGCTTGGGAACAAGCTAAACCAATATGATGAAGGGTGATTTGGCTTGACTTAGTAAAGAGGGGACACGTGGACATGACCTGACCAAGAGATGACAACTCAGCTTAATGTAACCAGTCCGCAGCAGATCGAGCTCGGGTACCCAACTACCCCGAGCTAAATCGACCTCGGGATAAGCTCACCTCGAGACGAGATCGACTCGGTACCAAATCGCAACAAGAACACCTTATGCCAAGGCACTTCGACATTCAACCCAGTTCAGGACTTAAAGACGTCAGTTCGAGGATTCCGACACGCCACTACGTGGTGATCCCGAAAACCCCTCCAACGGATCCCGGGCCTCACGAGATCATGCCGTGTAACAGCTAGCATTATCTCCCTGCCCGATTAAGGCGGAATTGATGAACCTTATCGGTTGGCAGCATTATCTTCCAACTTACACGAAAATGGATCCTATCGTGACGATGATCCCAGAATCGATCCGTAAAACCCGCGAGGACTCCATTATATAAAGGCTCCACCCCCGGTGGTTCAAGGTACACGTGATTTATATGCTCTCTAGCTCTCTCCATTCTTAAGCTATTTTTAGCTCGCAACCAGTATATTGACTTAAGCATCGGAGCGACCTTGCCGGGTTAACAACCCCGGGTTCTTTGATCTTGCAGATCAATTGTTCGCCGTCCGCCTGGAAGCTAGATCACCTCCAGCAGGGAGCAACTAGATCGCGCAGCATCACAATCTATTCTGGACTTGTTAAATGAGACCTGGCTCAAGGTTCTTAGAGCCCTAGGGGCATTTTCAACATTAAAAGGGTAATAATGAGATTTAGAAAAATTATATAAGTCACGTGTAAACAGATTGTAAGATAATGCTAATGGTATGGAAGGATTTAGTTAATTGTCAAAAAACTTAGAGATATTTCAAAGGACTTTGTAAACAATAGGGATATAATGAGTCCATTTCCTAAAATTTAGGGATAATTTATGAGATTTCTCCTTTCAAAAACAAATGAAAACTAAAACAAAGATATTCATGTTGTAAAACCAAAGAGCAGATTAGCTGAATTTGCTAACTGTTTTATTGATCGTGGGACCAATCATCTTGAGCAAAATGATTGATCCCACAACCACTAAAATAACTATCAAATTAAGCTTATCCTTTCTCATAACGCCCTCTGAATCATCCTGAGAAAATGGACCCCATGTGATAATTGCCTTCTTAGTTCTCACAAACTGAAAACAGTGGAAATCCATTCTTTATTGAGCTGTGTACTTATGAACCATACTGTATACTTGTACGATCAGGCTGAGCCGGGAAATTGGGTGATGGGGAATGAATGTTACTTGTTAGTAAACCATCAAGTCAAAGTATCCAAGCCCATCGTGTTCGTGTTGGCAGCAAAAAAAGGGAATCCACTAAAAGAATAGATAATTAGGGGGTGCAAGTCGAGTGGGCTGGACTCAACCCATACCCAATCCGAATTATTTAATCAGAGCCCAGTTCACACTAATATTTGATGCATTTAGATTGAGCTCGGGGTCAAGTTGAATTTTAGTTGAATTTGTGTATATAAATATATATACACATAAATATCCATATGTATATATATATTTAATAAAAAAATATGTTTATACTTAATAAATGTGTCTACATATGTATATATACATGTATATATCCGGGTTAAAATTGGGTTAGCAAGGTTTGAGCTTCTCGAAGGCGCCCTGAGCCAGTCCAAAATATTTAAAAACTTATATTTTGGGCCCAAACTCAGTTCAAGGGTGACCAAAAAAATTGAACTCTTATATAAAATTGCGGGCTAGGATTGGGCCCGCTCAAGTTGCACCCTATATGCAATAGCCAATAGGATCGCTGGTGTCGTATTTGTACCGAAAAGTCTGAAATGAAATCCCGTGTTTAATATCAATGGGCCAATAGGTGATCCCCTCGTCACTACAAGTGTATATATGTCAAACCTAAAGCAATAATTATCAACTTTTGACGTCATGTCATGTCATGTGTCAACCTAGCCCACCAATAAATAAACCGTCATCTGGCAAAGAAAAAATCTAAAATGCTCACTGCAACCCGATAGCGTCTCTCTCTCTCTCTCTCCGATCTTCACCGGGCCGCTCGCCACCATGCACCTTCTTGTTACTGGAGTCTTCTTTCTTCTTCTCTACATCTTGCTGAGATCCATACACTCCCTCATCTGGGTTCCATGGAAAACCCAGCTTCACTTCCGAAATCAAGGAATACGAGGCCCAGGCTACCGTCTGATCTTCGGAAACGCCGCCGAGATCCGTGGACTGATCGCAGAGGCTCAAGCAAAGCCAATGATGCCTGTCAGTCATGAGATCATCCACAGGGTCATGCCTCACTACCATACCTGGTCGACTATCTATGGCAAGACATTTCTCTACTGGTTCGGCCCGAAACCTCGGCTTGCTATCGCCGATCCGGACATGATTAAGGAGATTCTGCTCAACACCAACGGCGCTTTCGGGAAGATTGGATTCAATCCTTTGTCTAAGCAACTGTTTGGAGATGGGCTGGTTGGTCTGGAGGGTGAGAAATGGGCTAGACACAGGAGGATCACCAACCAGGCCTTCAACATGGAGAGAGTCAAGGTGAGCTACCGGCTCCCGTTTTCCCCCTTCGCTCTCTGTTTCTCTGTCTCTGTCATATTTTAATTGATTAGTGCATTTTTTTATGATGTAGTGGGCGTCTAGATTACACCATTTGCATACATAACCATGGTCTGAGTCTCTGAGAATCTCGTGTCGGTCCCTTTCCTGCAACTCTTTTCATCTTTAACTCAGATAATTAAATATTTTTTTTGGATGACGTTACAAGGAGCAATGCTAGTCATACGAGCCCACAGACAGCTTGACAATCTTTATCGTTTGACTTGTGCGAGCGTTTCAAGGAAATTATTTTAGTCGGAGCCATTTAGCCAAGGTGTAATGTGGGCCCGGGCCGGCCCGCCCGCGTGTCTACTTGGCACGAATTCCCTAAAAGGGGAGACCGGGACGGCCCATGGCCCAGGCTCAGGCCCTGCAGACTACCGGCCGGGACTAGTCGGGCTGGGCTATTTTTTATTTTGAGAAAAAATTGAAAATAAATAATGAAAATTAAAAAATTACAAATTTATAATAAAATTGGAAAGAATATCATAATAAAGTTTAAAAAAATTCAAATAACTTGGAAAGTTACAAGTTATAAATAAAATTAATAATTTATATATTTTATTTGTTTTATAGGATAAATCGCTATAGTCTAGAGGTGTAATGTGGGCCAAGCCACGGGCTGTGCTGGCATGAGCCCTCACAGGCCAAGAGCCAGCGTGGCCCATGGGCTACAAACCCTTAGCCCATCCCGAAACGAGGTTCATGTCGTGCCAGGCATGGTCCACTGTAGCTAACAGACCGTCCTAGGTCGTGACGGCCCACCAGACGGCACAACCCATTTTACTCAATCGGAGATCCAACCAATAACCAAAACTTAAACCGCTACCAGAACCAAACCCAATCCAAATCAGATGGTAGTTATCAAAAATTCACGGGGGAGGGGAGTTTGATTGGTCAAACCTTTTGTGGTATCATGTATTTCCGACAGCTTAGATTTTTCCAATATTTGATAAGAACATGGATCAATACGGATTGGTGAACCACCGAAAAGGGTCGACCCCATTCATCTCACCTGTCAATCCGGTTGAACATAGGCAATCTGTTCATCCAAGTCCACATCTTAAACGCAAAATAACAATGAAATGGTCGATAAACTTACTCCTTGGTGCAGGAATGGGTGCCAGAAATTGTGGCTAGCACATTAAAAATGTTGAAGAAGTGGGAAGAAAAGAGAGGCGAAAGAGATGAAATCGAGATAGAAGTGAACAGAGAGCTTCATAATCTCACTGCTGACATTATCTCACGAACGGCTTTTGGTAGCAGCTACGAAGAGGGGAAGCACATCTTCCAATTACAAGAACAACAGATGCACCTCGTATCGCAGGCTCTACGAAGCGTGTACATTCCCGGGTTTAGGTAACAACATTCAAACGGAATCTGCTCGTTCTCAATTTTTTCCCCATTTTCATTTGTTTGCTTCTGCAACTACAAATATACAAGAGCATTACAAAAGCATGACTTAAAAAGGCCAAATTTGATGACGATGGTAGTTTTCACCGCACAAATAATTCATAGGTTTGTACCCACAAAGAAGAACAGACGGAGATGGAAGCTAGAGAAGGAAATTCGAGAATCGCTACGGAGGCTGATTGAGATTAATGGTGAAACAAGTCAAAATTCCAGGAACCTCCTTGGCCTATTGATGTCGACTAACAGAAACCAGTCGGAAACCGAGAAGACTGAAGGACTGAGTGTGGAAGAGATAATAGATGAATGTAAGACATTTTACTTTGCAGGGAAAGAAACTAGTGCCAACCTTTTGACATGGGCGATTCTCCTTCTAGCACTGCACCAAGAATGGCAAAGCAAAGCACGCCAAGAAGTTGATTGCGTCTGCGGTGATGTTGGGCTGCCTACTGCAGAGAATTTGAATGACCTCAAAATTGTAAGTTCATTTTGTATTCATTTTCAAAGCGTAGCAAATCTGAACTATCAAATCAGAAGCAAGATTCTAACTTTGTATCAACAGGTAAGCATGATTATCAATGAAGCACTCCGCCTCTACCCACCGGCCGTGATGTTGATGAGGCAAACAAACAAGGGCGTCAAGCTAGGGAAACTTAACATTCCTGCTAACACGCAACTGTATCTGGCCATGACCGCCGTCCATCATGACCCTGAAATTTGGGGTGAAGATGCCGATGAGTTCAATCCGCTGAGATTTAACAATCCCAAAAAGCATTTGGCTTCATTCTTCCCGTTTGGATTAGGTCCCAGGATCTGTGTGGGTCAAAATCTAGCCGTTGTTGAGGCAAAAGTTCTTCTGACTATAATCATCCGTAGATTTTCATTTGTCCCATCGCCATCTTATGTCCATGCTCCTATGCAGTTTCTAACGATTCAGCCTCAATATGGAGCCCAGGTTGTGTTTAGAAAGGTATGAGGATGTATTTGGGACCGGAATGTGTATAGAAATAGAACATGCTTAGTACAAGAACAAGTAAACTAGTTCAATGATGGATAGAAATAGTTTATATAGGTTGATAATTAACCTGTGCTTGTTTAGCTTAGAATTGGGGAGATAGACCCCTGTAGCCTTATTTCCAGCTCGAGCTCCCAAAATGGGAAATAGAGACAGCTTAACTTCTTATCTCTAGAGACCAACAGTTACAAAAAAAACAGTAAAAGGAAGCACCTACATAGTCTTAATTATTTATTCTTGGGCAAAAGATACATAGCTTGAAAGTAGAAAACATAAAAAAAAAAGCATTAAAAGCAGCCTGAAACATGGTAAGAGATTTATTTGCATATAACTAAGCTAAATAGATGGTAATGGATAAGTAATATTTGACGATCACTTAGAAGTAATGTCCAATTCTCTTTATGTTTCTCAAGGCTCTTCTTCCTTCGCCTCCACCACCATAGCCTTGATCACCCTCTTCCTCCCTTCTCTGCTTTCGTTGCCTCTCCTCTTCTTGTCTTCTTGCTGCTTCCTCCTCCGTCTCTGGTTGTTCCCTTCGTCCTCTGTCTTCGTCTTCTGCTTTCCTTGCTTCTTGTTCTTCTTTTCCCCTTGGCCTTTGGGCTTCCTCCGACTCTTCTTTTCTAACTTCCTCTTCGTGTTGCCTACGATCTTCTTCTTCTTCTTCTTCGTCTTCTTTCCTGTGCCTCTCCTGTCTCCTGGCCTCCTCTTCTTGTTGCTGTTCTTCTTCTTCTTCGTCTTCTTTCCTGTGCTTCTCCTGTCTCTCTCCTTCCTGTCTTTTGGCCGCCTCTTCTTCTTGTTGCCCTTGTTGCCTACGAGCTGATGCTTCTTCTTCTTCTTCTTCTTCTTCTTCTTGTTTCTGCCTCTCCTGCTTCTTTCCTTCCTGTCTCCTGGTCTCCTCTTCTTGTTGTTCTTGTTGCCTACGGGCATCTTCTTCTTGTCTCTGCCTGCGAGATGCTTCTTCTTCTTCTTCTTGCCTCTGCCTCTCCTGTCTCTCTCTTTCCTGTCTCTTGGCCTTCATTTCTTCTTGTTGCCCTTCATGCCAACGACCTGCTTCTTCTTCTTTCTGTCTCTCCTGCCTCTTTCCTTCCTGTCCCCTGGCCTCCTCTTCTTGTTGCCTACGAGCTTCTTCTTCTTCTTGCCTCTGCTTCTTTTGCCTTTCTTCTTCTTGTCTACTGGCCTCTTTTTCCTCCCATTTTGCTTCTTCCCTCTGTCTTCTTCTGGCCTCTTCTTCCTGTCTCCTTACCTCCTCTTCTTGTTCTTGCCACTCTTCCTCTTCTTTTTCTTGCTGTTTCTGCTTCTTTTGCCTCTCTTCTTCTTGTCTTCTGGCCTCTTCTTGCTCCCTTTTCGCTGCTTCCTCCTGTCTTTTTCTAGCCTCCTCTTGTTGCCTCTTCTCCTCTTCCTGTCTCCTCCTAGCCTCCTGTTCTTGCTTCTCCTTCTCTTCCCTCTCTCTTGCCTCTTTCTCCTCTTTCCTCCAAGCTTCTTCCTCCTCTCTCCTCTGTTCCTCCCTTTTCGCTGCTTCCTCCTGTCTTCTTCTAGCTTCCTCTTGTTGCCTCTTCTCTTCTTCTTGTCTCCTCTTAGCCTCCTCTTTTTTCCTCTCTTCCTCCTTTTCTCTTGCCTCTCTCTCCTCTCTCCTCCTTTGTTCCTCTTCTTGCCTTTTCCTCTCTTCTTCTTGTCTCCTCTTAGCCTCCTCTTTTTTCCTCTCTTCCTCCCTTTCTCTTGCCTCTCTCTCCTCTTCCCTCCTAGCTTCTTCCTCCTCTCTCCTCCTTTGTTCCTCTTCTTGCCTTTCCCTCTCAATTTCCTCCTGCATTGCAGCTTCTTCCTCCTCTGCGCATGATGGGCAGCTAAGTATGAAAGATTCTGATTGAGAAGATAATAGCCGGTCAATTGTTTTGTTAGACACATTCATGGACAGAGCTAAAATGTCTCTATCTAATGTCTGAAGCACCGAGTTTTTCCCAGCTAGGAACTGGGGGTAATTTTTCTTTGCCATTGTACTGAACCCCATGAAAACAAGAGAGTCATTACTGAATGACATCTGGGCCATGGGATGGAACTGTGGAACAACGAAGACATCTCCCTCTTGGACCTTAAACCTCATGTTTTTGCAGTCCGACGACGACTCGTATGTGCTGCTCGAGCAGACAATGCTAACGATTCCTTCTCCGTGCGTTACAATTGCTATCTCCGTTGCCATTGGATTCCAATGGGGCGCCATCATGGAATCCTTCGTGGAGCAACAAACACTGTTAGTAAGCGTAGCCTGTGCAGGGAAGAGCATATTTGACATATCCTTCGTAGAAACAACAAATTTTCAAGCAGCTAACCTTGCTTAAGTTCACCATGAACGCTCCGAAGCTGGAACCTTTTAAGTCCTTTTTGTTCACCGTCACACTCCAGCCATTAGCATTCTCAACATCTCGCTTTGCTTTCAGAAAATTGAATATCTTTGTTTTCTTCTTTTTGTTCAACTCATATGAGCCACTTCCCATAAGGGCCTTAATAATTCTAGCCTGCCATTTGGTTTGTTCTGTTTCATTCTTCGATGGTACATGAAGAATTGCTGGAAGCTTAGCCGCACTTTTTATCTCCTCTATCATTTCTGGAGAGACCTGACCATTCGCACTAAGAATTAACAGCTCTGCCTTGAAAATTCTAATCAAGCAATTAGCCAATTAATTTAAATGGGTATAGTTTAAGCAACCCTGGTTCACTTGTATTCAATCCACCTCTACTTGGGACGAATTATGGTCTACTAACATCAATTATGACCACTCTACTTTAGACCTGCAGTGAAGAAAGGCTTTGAACTCTCTTACCTTGAAGGCTGACTGGAGAATCTTCCAATCAAAACCTAAGACCAGGTCGCTCAGCCTCGAGTATGCCCCAACAGAGAGCTCCTGCATGAGAATTGCATTCAATCCATGCATACCAACCATTCAATCAAAATTGGCTAAAAGAATTTGTATGTAAAGATCGAATCTTTGAAAACTCTAAAAATCAGCTCACATACATGCGCATTATTGGCATTGTCAAAGATGGCAAAAATCCTGAGCCTCTCCCTTGTCGACTCCAAGCTGCTCTTCGCAAAGAAAAATGAAGCCGAAGGGATTCTAAAGACATCACCTCGCTTCACGTCTATCTGGTTCGTCACGCCCTCTTCATCAACCCAATTCAAACTCCCGCTCCCTGCACCAACAGGTATGCATGCACAAGCATATGCTTCAAAAAGGAAAAGCAAGAAGGAAAAGTTGAATCCCATACAAATGGGTGCAACGTGCACTGCTACTGCATTTGCTTTACCTGTGAGAACGTAAAACATCATGTCTTCGTGTAATAGTACAGGAAGGAAAAGCGAGTTAGGCTCCAAGGTGATGAACTGAAGTTGGTAGGTCCCTCCAGTGCTGCCATCACTGATTTCCACGGCTGTGATCTCTCCGAACTCCGTCGAAGTAATGCTTCTCCGGCTATATTTGGTGAACAGAGGCCTCATAGCAAGTACATCATCTTCCAAAGCTATGACAGTTGAAGAACAGAAAAGAAGGAAGAAAAATTGCCAAGTTAAAGCTCTCTTCAACATTTCGTTCACATGCAGACGAGAGAGTGTGTGCTACTACTGGTCGGTGTGGAAACAAGGTCCGTCCTTTATAGAGAAACAATGAAGAGGACCCACGGAGTAACGTGTCTTTTTAATCCAACACGTGTACACTTTTTTGAAACGTGTCACCTTCGTAGCCCTGTTCAGTGTGGTAAACTTTAGTAGTGAAATGATTCTTTTCCATCTACTTGTCTCAATAGACCATTTCCTCTGTCGCCAGATGGTTCCTCGAGATCATAGTATCATACCACGTATAAGACAAATAATTACAGTCCGGACTCCGGATTACCATCCAATTAAATACGTTCCAACTTCCTTCCAACATGATCCGACACCAGTCACCACACATCTCGTATATGGTGGGTTTCGATATCATGATGAGATGTGTCTGTCAGATCATGTTGATAGGGAGTTGGAACAAGTTTTGTTGACAGAAGATCCCAATTCAACAGTCACCTACTGTGTATGCATGATGGTCACGAATTAATTGATCCCACTGTGTATGCATGATGGTCACGAATTCCAACCGTTAGATGATAGATCTGGTCGATTAAACTGTAATTTAACTTGTCACCTGGCGTGGGACTGAGTGGATTTGCATGACCGGAAACCCAAGATAATTCTTTTCTGTTGAAACCGTGACTGGGCTTGAGGTTGACACTTTAGGCCTGGCTCAACCACTAGGGGTTAGGGGTCTTAATGGAATAATTTTCGGTTGCACCCGTTCAAACCAAAATCAATTTCTATGGATTAGACGGACAGATAAGACATAATGAATTGGATCAGTTTAGATTTAATGGTTCAAATATTTATTGGATTGAATTGGGTCAGATATTAAAGAATGACTTAATATCCGATCCATTCATAATAAGAATATAGGTGTTAATGGAATGGATTGGGTTTGGGTTGGAATTAATCTAAATAATTTAACACAAATTTGAATAAATTGAACAGTTCAGACGTTAAATTACACTAATCCAAAATATTCATTGAATTGGATTAGATCGGGTCCATTTATAATGGATTCACATTGGATCGGATCAGATTGGGCCAAATCCTGTCCAATTGACACCCCGAGTTAGGGTTTATCCAAGATTGGATCGTGTCTTGCCATTGGGTACCATGACAGTGAGTATTGTTATGTCTATTATGATATGGGAAACATGTGATAGCTAAAATTTTTTTGACAAATCAGCTAGTATCATACCTGTTGCCAATCAAATGTTAATTATCAAAATTCATGAGTGGATTTTGATTGGTAAAAATTCTTTCAATACCATATCTTTCCCGCATCATAGATTTTCCCTTATATTTTATATATTATTTTTAATAATTTTTTACAGCACAAAAATAATAATAACTAATTTCAGTTAGGGTTGTTCATCAAATTGACGAAATCTACCAATACGATCAACTTGGGTCGAGTTAGTTGGTTTTCTAGAATTTTCATTTGGCTTTGGTTCAACAATTTCCCGACCTGAGCAGGTTCGATTAATTTCGTTTATAGTTTTTGGTGACCAACTCCTCAACCTGACCAGGTTGATTTGATTGTCAAAACAGCCTAAAACCGAACCGAACCAACTTATGAACATTCCTAATTTTATCTAAATTAATAGTCTAATATCTAATAAATAACAATAGGTTAATCTCCAAAAATTATTGTAAATTTATAACTGGTGAGGGGTGATTTGGCCCTCCAATGATGTGATGACGCGTTGCATTTCATAGCAGTCATACAACATCTCAACACTACGATGGCAGACCTCAGGAGCACTGCGGACACCTCGCAATCGCCTTGATGACCTCGGCACCACTTCGGTAGGCTGAACTGCGAACGGCCCAACAAGACATCAGGTCGACGTAAGAGGCAACTTTCTTCTGTAGACTTGACTGACTTCGGACACTCTGATTTCTTTTTTCTTGCAATTCGTCCATGCGACCTACCTAGTCCGACGTCCAAGTTGCCCGCTAGTAGAGAGAGTCAGATCGTGCTACATAAATAGCAAAAGTACACAATTATTGAAAATATATTGTTAATAAAAATACAAAAAATAAAAATAAAAATATAACAAATACAATAATTACTAAAATATTAAACAATATATTATAAAAAAATACAATTAGTACAATAAAATAAACTTAAAATGTTAAATAACAGTAATCTCCAATAATTATTTAAAATTTTCTATAAAAAACTGAAACAAAAATATATTTATACATAATTATTGAAAATATACTTATCACAAAAAAAATAAATAATTACTTAAAATACAATAAATATTAATTTTAGTATATTTAAAATATAGGTCCAGATTTTAAAATTATGAATAATAAATATTATTTTGTGAAAGTTATTTCTAGAATTATTAATTAATATAAGTGGAATTAGTTATTTACAATATTACATAGTTATTTAAATAATATAAATATTTACTTTTTAAATATTAATTATATATTGAATTTAATAATCCATAAAATTATAATGTATACTATTATTACATAATTTCGTTATTAATTTTATAAAATATTAAATTATTATTAATTCGAATATTATGTTATAATTATTTTTCTAGTTTTAAGATGTTTTTAAAATTTATTACATAATTTCATTATTTTAACTATTTAAAATCTAGTTATGCTAAATATTTCGTTAGTGAAAATATTTAGTTATTTAAATATTTAAATCATATATAAATAATATAAAATATTTCATTATTTATTTTGAATTTATTGTATAATATTAAATACCGTGTTATATAATTATTTAGTTATTTTTAATATTTTTTTATTTAAGATATTTGGTTATTGAAATATTTAAATAATATTTTATTTTTAATGTTACAATTTTATTATTTGAATAACATTTAAATTCAATAACCCAAAAAACCATAATTTATATTGTTAGTACATAATTTCATGATGGATTTTGTAAAAATATAAATTTATTAATAATATGAATATTATTAAATCTATTATAATTATTTTTTTGTGTTTTTAATTAATATTTTATAGTTAGTATATGATTTTTTAGAATATTTAAATAATTTTTTTAATTTTTTAAATTCAAACATTCTTTAGAAAGATATACATAAAAAGTTGGGGATCGAATAAATAGGAATTAGAGATAATTTAGGAGAAAGATGGGGATAGTTGGGGAGGTAGTTTAGGAAATGATATTATGTAGGGTTATTGGGAAGGCTCCGGATCTCCTGCCCACGAGAACTTTGCCCACGCCTACCCACAATACACTACCCCCCATGAATTGGGAACATCTCCCCCTGCATAATACTATGCAGAGGATGAGATGTTCTCCATGTGTGGCTGCAATCAACGTGGGCATATTTCTCGTGGATAGGAGATCTGGACTCTATTGGGAACATGCGGAGAGAGAGAGAGAGGAGCCCGGATCTCCTACCCACGAGAACCCTGCCCACATTTATTACAGCCACATATGGAGAACATCTCATCCTCTGCATAGTATTATGCAGGGGGAGATGTTCCCAATTCACGGGGGTGGTGTATTGTGGGTAGGTGTGGGCAGGGTTCTCGTGGGCAGGAGATACGGAGGAGAGAGAGAGAGAGAGAGATTGTAGGTATTTTTTATGGGAGGAGAGCATCTCATTGAAAATGACCTAGAATAAAAAAATAAAAATTAAAAAAAAAAAAAGAAAATTTCTAGACTACCTTGTTTTAGTATTCGGCTACAAGTACAAATGTATGGGAATGCAAATGAAAAGATTGCAAATTCTGGTCTAATTTTATTTCGGGTTTTACTGCATTCTGTTTCAGGTCTTATTTTACTTTATTTATACTGCAATCAAATAAAACAAGGTAAATTTGAAACAAAAACAAATCAGAATTTGCATCCAAATCATTTGCACTTAAGGGTGTAAATGGATCAAATTCAAATCGGATCAGGCAATATCCGAATTCGAATCCGATTAAAAATTTTGATATCCGATGGATATTGAAAATTAATAATCGAATTCAAATCCAATTAAATATTTGAATATTCGATTCGGTTCGAATTCGACTAATTAATTATTTTAGATAATTAATAAATATATAAAATAAATATTTTATTTATATAAATATATAAATTATTTCTATAATTTAATTATTATATATATAAATTATATAAAACATTTTAAAAAATTATATATTATATATAAATTAAATAATCGGTCTAATTTGGATATTTATCGAATCGAATCAGATCATATCCAAATTCAAATCTGATTAGCTATTCGGTATGAATAGGATATCCAAAATCAACCGATTAAATATTCGGATTATTCGAATTCGAGTCGATTATACCAAATCTCGAATTCGAAATCGGATTTTTAAATACGTTGACACCCCTATTTGCACTCTCTTAATTTTGCATCAATGCAAATTTATTTCCTTCCATTTCCATTTTTTTTGTCGTACAGACAGGAGACTCATGCTGTTTTACTTTTAATTTTACTCTTTATAAACAGACAAAACAAATTGAAACCTGGAACAAAAAAAGAACCAGAATTTGCGCTCCTGTACATTTTACAAACAAACAGAGCCTGAAGAGAAGAGAGTGACCCCATGGCTTCCCTATCAAAGATGAGCCAAATTCGACGTGGGAACCAAACTACCAAGAATGGATCAGAATTTGCACTGTGTATACTAAACCGGTGCATGATCCTCCCCTGAATCAGGGGCTCAGGGCCAGGCCCATTTAGATTGGAACCTTTTTTTTTTTTGGAATAAATTAAAGCATAAAATATTATTCATATCAAATTAAGATAAGGGTAAAGGACGATACCTACAACCTTCTCCTTAGGCTCCCTTTGTTTGCATTGTAAATTCAAACTGGATGCAAAATTTTTGGATTTTCATTCATTTGAACCCTACTTGATAGAAAATTTGCACTTCTTGTATCATTAGCAGTTCATACCACCTTCCTCTTTTATTGCCGCTCATAGAAAGTGGAGACCACATCTTTTGCATCTCATTTTAATAAACAACCTTCCATTTTCCATCTTCTTTCATGCAAATAGATTGAGTGTAAATCCTGATTTACTCTTGCGTCAGGTGTGCCTTTGTTTTGTTTATTTGTTTAA